ACCAATCAACCATCATGCAACATTTGCATTCCCTGGGCAATGAAAAATACTATGAACTTATGCATCAATGCAATACAAGAAAAATCCATTAAATTTATCATGAGCAGACGCTTGAGTTCTAAAGTTAGTGGCATTTAGCCAACAATTATGGTCTCATTGATAAGGCTAGCCTTTCTTGCTTTTAACAAAGTTTTCTTTCTCTGTTTTCCTTTTCAAAGTAAAAGGCACTTAGTAGACACTCAATAAATGTTTTCTTGTAAATATAATTGCCCTTTTAATTTTACATAGAGAATATTTCAAATGATACAACTATTTTATTTAATTGCTCAACTGTTCCAATTTAAAGATACACAGAAAAGAAACACCAACAAATCATAAAATGGTTCTATATTTCAGTCATATTAACAAAAAAATATACATGCTACCTTGAAGATATTTCCCTTGCTCTGAAAAGGTGTTCTCATTTATCCAGCATATAACCATCTAGCATTTTATCTTCCCAAATGGGAAGAATTGTGAATGTAGTCACATAAACACCTTCAGGTAAGAGGGACCAACGTACCTGGTTTGCCTGGGGATTTCCCAGGGTTAGCATTGAAAGTTCTACATCATAGGAACCCTCTCTGCTCTGGGAAAACCAAGAGAGTTGATCATTCTATGCCTCAGGTCACTATGTAAACGCAGTTACGTTTTCAATAAAATTTATGAAAGTGTTGGCAGTTTATGCTAAACTGAAGATGAAGCATTATTATAAAGTATGATTTTAAGGTACTTGGGCAGCTAAACAAAAAGAAATTGTAAAGCTCTACATAATCTTGCTTAACCAAGACAAGGTTGCTAAGAATATCAGAAGTTTACTAGATCAAATTCTTCATTCTGATGATAGCTGGTATGTGCACCAGTATTAACAACATTCACTCAGCTAAAAAAATAGGCTTCCAATAGCACACATACATTTATATACAATGGACACCTAGTCTGCAAATAAAATTGAGACACTAGACCCGGTGCGGTGGCACAGCCTATAGTCCCAGCACTTTGGGAGGCCGAGGCAAGAGGATTGCCTGAGGCCAGGGGTTTAAGAACAGCCTGGGCAACTTGGTGAGACCTCGTCTCTACAATAAATCACAAAAACTAGCTGGGCGTGGTGGCGTGTGTCTGTAGTTTCAGCTACTTGGAAGGCTGAGGCGGAAGGATCACCTAAGCCCAGCAGGTTGAGGCTGCGGAGGCCGTGAACATGCCACTGCACACCAGCCTGGGCAACAAAGAGTGAGACTCCAACTCAAAAAAAAAAAAAAAATTGAGACACTATATGGAGAAAGATTGGGAAAGAAATCAACTTTCATCCAAGAATTTTAAAGTATCCTATCTGGCCGGGCATGGGGGCTCATGCCTATAATCCCAGCACTTTGGCAGGCCGAGGTGAGAGTCCAGGAGTTTGAGACCAGCCTGGATAACTTGGCGAGACCTCCTCTCTACAATAAATCAAAAAATTAGCTGGGTGTGGTGGTGAATGCCTGCAGTCCAAGATACTTGGAAGGCTGAGGTACAAGGATCACCTAAACCCAGCAGGTTGAGGCTAAGGTAGCCATGATCATACCACTGCACCCTACCCTGGGCAAGGCAGTGAGATTCCAACTCAAAAAAAAGCTTCTCATCTCTGTGAAATGATGGTGGCAAGGCCAGCCCAATTTTGATGTTTCAGTTTTGGGGTATCATGAAAAGCTAAACTTTTGTGAGGATAAAAATAAATCTGTAAGTCAAAGAAGTTGGACTAGTACATACCTTCAAAGGTCCCTACAAACTTGAGCATTCCATGACAGAAGTCACCTTGTTTGACCCCTTTACTTGAAAGGTATAGCAAGCCAGGCCAGAGTTACATGATGTTCCAAGGGTCTAGCTCTGGCTGGGGATGGAGCCTGGATTATGTATCACCATGTTTTCACTGTAATTATGCTTAGAAACACTTAGAACCAAAAGTGCACACGGTCAAGATAAATGATACATTTCACCTCATGTGGTATTTTACTTAGTTTGGCTTCAAGTTTAGAAAACGAAATCTGAGTCCAGAAACTCTTTAAACTTTCATTAGTTACTTTAATCATACAATAGCATGCCATTCTGAGTATTTATACATATACATTCAGAATATATATATACTCTGGTTTCTCTTTCGATTTGTAAGATTTATACAATCCAAAGAGAAACCAGAATTCCAAACCAGCCTGGGCAACTTGGCAAGACGTCATCTCTACAATAAATCAAAAATTAGCTGGGCATGGTAGCGCCTGCCTGTAGTTCCAGCTACTTGGAAGGCTGAGGTGGAAGGATCGCGGGAGCCCACAGGTCAACACTGGGGTGGCTGTAAGCCTGCCACTGCACTCCAGACTGGGTGATGGAGTGAGACTCCAACTCAAAAAAAAAAAGAAGAGAGAGTTTGGAGAGTTTTTTGTGATTTCTCTAAACAAAAAAACAAAGTAACTTGTAAAGGGAACAGACATCTTTGCAGTTTGAAGGAACTTCAAAATACAGAAAATAACAACTTTCAAAACAAATTATTGCTGTTGTCCTAGAATCAGGATCTTGTAAGCAAAACAAGTATGTGACCAGCTTAAGGAGTGCTAGTAACAATGAGAAAGCTCGGTGTTCCTTTATTCTGGTAACTGTGTTCTTATAACTGAGACAGTTTACAAGGTCATGCAGAAGTCCACAGGCATTCATTGTTCGATCAATGTTACTGTCCCTTAACCTATGAAGGACCCCGAATGAGATAAACACAAAAATCCGCTGCCTTGAAAGGAAAAGATGAATTGTTCTAGGTAGCAAGCACAAACTGAGCTATTTTTCTATCACAATTCTGAATTACACTGATCCATGTATATGCCAGACCTGTGCCTCCATTATCAACAGTACTGACCATTCATTCACAACCTGTTACCCAGGTGTAGGAGGGCAATTTATGAATACATGTTGCTGACCAAAGCTTGCTGATCCACACACACCCCTCCACCTCAGCTTCACTGGTATCCTTGTGTAACAAGAGTCAGCAGTGCTGCTGAAGGCCGGAGCTGCTGAGCTAAAGAACTTTGGCCCAATCATTAAAATCTCCCAGGCTCTCAGTTTCCTGTTTTCCTCATCTGTGGAATGGGGTTAATAACCTCACATATTTTATGTTTATAAAATCAAATTAAAAATAAATATATACAAAATACTTGAAAAGGCTTTGTAAATGATGAAGTTATAATACATTACTTAGTCAGCTGAGTTGGCAGAAGACTGTGTCTCTTAACATAAAACTGCCCCTGGGGATATATATAAATTCATATGCAATCTGTTTCACAAGTCTGTTAATAAAATATTTAAATTACACAATAAGAAGATTAATAAATTCAAACGACAAGTCGAGCAAAGCACTACAAATCATAGGTCAAATTCTTCAGTAATATAGGCATTAGAATGAAGTATTACATGAACCTTATGCTGGAAATCACATGGAAGATTTTTTAAATGCCAGTTTTATGCATGCTTTCACAAACCTTCAGGATAAAAGTGTTCTTTAATGAGTAATTATGTGCACAGTTCATTTTCCTAGTAAGACTTCAATGAAAACACTTTTTATTTGTATGCTTTGCAATATAAAATGCCTAGATCAACATAATTCTTCAGCAATAACCATATTTTTATTTACATAAAGTAGAAAGGAATGGAAAAATCCACTATATCCACTGCCACCCACCACTACAAAGAAAAAGCAGAATGAAACAACAAAATTAGAGGTAAATATCACAGACTAAATGTTCATGAAAATCCCCTCAGTTTTCCAAGCTCACAAACACCCAAAGTAAAATGATACACCTTTCAAACACCTGAGAGTGACTGTATTAACTAAAGCATAACCCAAACCCTATGATGGAATGCTTATGTTAAAATGTCCTTCATATCGTTATAACTGGACTAATTTAAAAATTAGAATTTTGCAATATAGAATCTATACAATATAATTGGAATTGTGAGTGAAAATAAGGGTATAAAAAACACACTAAGTATTTTCACCTCTTGGAGATGTACCATAATTTTTGCAGCAGGAAAGCCTGCAGAATCTTAACAAAATAAAATCTTTGAAAATCCTGGCTACATTTTCTGTTGACTTAAAACAGTTTTAACCCCACAATCGCTCTCTTAGATTCTTTTTTAAATAAGCATTCTTGCCCTAAATCTCTTCTTTAACAAAACTAATATTTTCTTGCAACAAAATCACAGTATCTTGGGGTATAGTCTTTTCTTTTTAAAGATTACATAACTTATTTCTAAATGATGTCCATGTCTGCGGCTAATTCATAACCAATGTAACTGCAAATAGAAATGGAACTGAGACTTTCATTTTTTAACAAAGACAAATTATTTCTTAATTTGCAGAGAAGTGCACCTCAGGAATGACTTGCTGAATAAATTAATCGGAATTATCAAACGGCAAACACTTCATGCTAACCCAAAGCCAATCAGGTAAGTCATATTATAACATATATAAAACAACCTGCAGTACAGGCAAAGACAATAACTAAATGAGTTTTTTAAAGGCTGTTAACTTTTCTCACTTCCTTAATATTGCCCAGATTTGAGAGAGAATGCACCAAACCTCGGAACTCGTGGAAGCGTATTTACCTCAGCTACCAAGACCATAACGAGTTCTATCGAGGAAAAAAAAATTTAAATACGCATTCTGAAAGGCCTGCGATAATACCCAATTCAAGAAGCAAACTATAGAGAACAGAAAACTCAAGAACGCACCGCCTTCCACCACCTCTCCCCAACTAGCCCCATTTTTTTGCTCGTAATTTACATTCCATGGTTAGATAAGTACATTTATTTCGAGAAACCTGTTGGAATCGATTTTTTAGAAGATATATACTATATACTTTAGAAGATGATGCAGAAATAAGTTGCTCCAAGAAAGTTGCCGACCCATTCATTTACAAACAACAGAAAGAAGATACACCCACATGTCTTGCTCTCAGAGAAGACGCAACCTGGTAATTTGCAGGAACGACGAGATCCCAGAGACAGGTTACTCTCCCAAAAGGAAAAGGGAGAAAAAAAAAAAAGAAAAGAAAGAAAAAACTACCGTGGCTTTTCACCCAAGCAGCTTCAGGGATGCAGGCTCCGCAACTCACGCGGTGCGGAAATTCAAGTGAAGCTCTGTCACTCACAAGTGCAGCATCTCCAGGACGAAGCAGGACTTGGGGACCGGGAAACCCACGCGAAGCCCGCCCGACTTCGCCGGAGAGTCCAAACAGCCCCGGGCCGGAGCTTGCTGATTGCTCCGCCCCGAGACCGAGGAGGAGCCGCCGAGACGCGAGAGAGCACCACCGGCCGGAGAAACCGCCTCCGCGAGCTCCCGAAGCAAGCGCAGGACTCGGGCGCGAGGACTCCGGGGCCGCGGGCGCGCGCGCGACGGAGGGGCGGGGTGAGAGCGCGGGGACGCGGGAGCGCGGGCTCACCTTGCGCGGGGGTTGGCTGGGCGCGCGCGCCGCCGCCGCCGCCGCTGCTGCTCGGCTTCCGGCCACAGAGCCCCGGGGCCCAGTGTCCCCGCGCAGCCGGAGGGGCCGCGGCGGTCGGCGCCTGGGATCCTCCGCCCCCGGCCCCGTCCTGCCGGCTCCGCTGAGGGCGCCAGCAACTGCAGGCAGCGCTTTAAGGCTCGCCGCCTAGCCATCCTGACGGGGAACCGTCGCCGGGTCACTTAATCATTGTGACCTTCGAATCTGGCAGTCGGGCCAGCCCGGCGCAGGCCGCTTCTCCGACCCTGACCAAGATGGCCGCCCTCGCGTGCCGGAGCGCCGAAGCCATCTTGGGGAAGGGGGCGCCGCGGGGGCAGGCGGTCCTCCCTGCTGGTCCTGCAACTCGTGTTCGCTCTCTGCGAGGTTCTCTCTGAGACCATATTGGCTCCCCTATCTTAAGCCAGAGAGTAACCGCAGGTCGCCTGAGCTCGTTCCTGGACACCAGCCGGTTGCCAACACTAATGGGATCCTGTTGACCCAATGATGGACTCTTGCAGCCGGTCGTAGTCGAAAAGCACGGACCTGCTTATAACATGTGGCTCCAGAAGGCTGGTAGCGAAGAAACTGAACTGTAATGTGAAGGATGTGCTGAGTATGAATGGCAGCACCGTCTTGTCACTGTGTACTCATTTACTTTAAAATGATGTCACAGCTTCCTGGTACACACGGTTTCCACCTAAATTTGCATCTTTTTAAAATCCCAGGATAATGACAAAAGCATAAAATTGTGATTCTGCGTTTCTTACTGAATTTGCGTTTTAAGTTGCAGGATGAAATAGTTGTTTGAAGACGTAACTAAAGTACAGGCAGATAAAGGAATCAACAACGGGTGACTGGGCAAAAAGATTTCTCTATAAAACTCCTCCTGGGTGTGTCCCTGGTTCAGAAAGAAATAGTCTCTCTGGGGTCTCTATCTTGGCAAAAAGGTGGCGGGGTGGAGGCCGTAAATGCAGATAAGATTGCCAGAAGAAAAAAAAAACCGCAAACCAAACTATTCTGCATTTTGAAAGCGAATGTGCCCGTGTAATATTGCGGGAATGCAAATAACTTTTTGTCAAGTGTGGACTTTATCTCCCCAGGCTAGCTTGCATTAGTTGCTGAGTTTATTGGCTTAAGTGTGATTAAAAACTGCTTATGCCTGGGTGGGGCTGAGATGGCACAATTTGAATAACACCTGGCTTGCAACATCAAAAAAAAACCTAACGCCACATGTACAAACCCAAAGGGTAAGTTGAAGTTACTACCCTGAAGTTCTTCATAATTCTCTTGGCTAAGGAACTTTAAAAAGATGGCCTTTGGCCAGGCGCAGGGCTCAACGCCTATAATTCTAGCACTTTAGGTGTTCTAGGTCGGAGGATTGCTTGAAGCCACAAGATCGAGATCAGCCTAGGCAACATAGTCAGATCTCGTCTCTACAAAAAAATCAAAAAATTGGCCAGATGTGGTGGCATATGCCTGTAGTTCCAGCTATTCAGGAGGCTAGGGTGGAAAGTTCACCAGAGCACAGCAAGTTGGGGCTGCAGTAGCCATGACAGGCCACTGTACTCCAGCCTGGGCAACAGAGTGCCTCAAAAATAAACAAACAAACAATGCCTGCCCTTTCTTCTGACTTCCATTCTTTATTATGAAAAAAATGTCAAGTATACAGGAAATAGGCCTTTTTGCGATACAATTTGAATAATTTTCACACATCAAAACACTTAACCCCTAAGTAGTTTCACCTCTCCTAAGAATGAGGACATTTGTTTCATAACCACGATATCATTATCATACCTAAGAAAATAACAATGATTTCCCAATATCACTTAATATTCAGTCTATATTCCAGTTTCCATGACTGAACCCAGAATGTCACTGACAGTTATTTTTTTTCTGAACTAGGATAGTGTCCAGACTCATGTATTGCATCTGTGTATTATATTCCAGTAAGAATCAATTTAAAATACTTACTATTTTCTATACTTATCATACAGATATTATGAAGAGACAAATGTTCACAAGATGTTTTTCTTTGAAAGCAGGAAGATAAGTTTATCTCTGTGTACACCAAGAAAGCCTAGGAGGAATGTCTTTTAACATAACAATGACAATTTAATTGAAGATGTATTAATTAAATAATAATGTTTATGCCTTAACTCCTGGAATACTACATGAACTTTATGGATTAAAGTTCAGTTAGGTTGGAATCTCTACTCAACACAACTTCTAAAGTATAATTAGTTGAGTTTTTTTCCTAGACAGTGAAAAGAAGCTATTTAGTGTAACAATTTATATCACTCCAAGCAAAACCTCTAGCTTGCTTTGCTTCACATTACAGAAGGAAATGAACATTGCACCCTAAGCATTTTACTCATAGTTTAATTTTAGATCCTGACCTGCTGAACTGGGCTGTATTTGTCCTTCCCTTTTATTCCATCCCTAGGAAGTCAGGCATTCAGCACATAATAACTACTTGTCTTCTAAGTCATTGCTTAATTTTTAAATGTTAATTAATGCTGTGAAGAAAAGCACATTTACACAATACTCAAAAGTTACTCGTGGCCAATGTAACTTTTTTCTGGAGACTAGCACTATATTAAATAAGATTATTTTAACACTTCACAAAAATGTTGAATGCTTCTTAAATTACTTATGGGAAACCACATTTAAAACACTTAGCATAGTATCTCTTACCTTTAAAGTGAGTTCTGTAATAGTACTGCCCTTCTCCTAGCTCTAGTCTTAAAGGCACAGGAGACTAGAGGACTCCCTAACAGAGGGTTTTAATTCAATCTGTATTTATAGCAGCACTGGTGAAATTCAGTTGTGAAAATAAGTAACTCAGAATCTAAGCTGCTGAAAGTAAATTATGTTGAGCCTTGAAGGAATGTGATTATGGGACCTGACAGGCACTGTAACCTAGGCAGCTGTAAACTTTGTTTCTCCAGCACAGATTGGCCTTCTTCCTTACCTGTGTTTGTTTTGTAAACTGTAAAGGATGAAGGGTGCCTGGGAAGACCTCTTCCTTCTCCATTGTTGATTTTCATCATAGATTAACCTCCCTCTTATTTTCTCACACAAAGACTTAATGACTGTCACAGTGTCTTAAGGTGGAGTGTTAAATATGCTCTTTTAAATTGGAAAGGAAATTAAAACCAGCTGTAAAGAAAAGAAAACAAGCCATATGGGGGGAAAAAAACACTGTAACTAATCTATTGTAACTTTTTTAAAAATAAAAGTCACTTTATTTTCATTTATTTAATGTTTTTTTTTAATAGATACAGGATGTTGCTGTGCTGCCCAGGATGGTCTCAAACTTCTGGCTTCAAGCAATCCTCCCACGGACTCCCAAATTGCTGGGATTATAGACATGAGTCAACACACCCAGGCTGTTATAAACAAGCCTTGTGTAGAAAATGTTGTGATCCTATTAGTCTTTGTCTTCTTCCTATATAAGCAAGACTTGACTTTTAACTTTGGAGCACTGGCCCTATTTCTCTAGAGTCTGTGTGTCCCAGAAATGGCTTTTCCCAGTTTTTTGCTTGAATAAACTCTTTTAAGATGTATTCTGGCTCTTTTGATTATTTCAGTCTGACACTAAGTTCTGTATTCACTTCCCTGATCATTAAGAATCTGTAGATAATGCAGCCAGGCATGGTGCACACCTGTAAACCCAGCACTTTGGGAGGTAGAGGTGAGAGGATTGATTGCCTGAGCCCAGCGGTTTGAGACCAGCCTGGGCAACTTGGCAAGACGTTGTCTCCACAGTAAATCAAAAAAATTAGCCGGGCATGGTGGCGCATGCCTGTGGTTCCAGCTACTTGGATGGCTGAGGTGGAAGGATTGCTTGAGCCCGGTAGGTTGAGGCTGTGGTGGCTGTGAGCATGCCACTGTACTCCAGCCTGGGTGACAGAGTGAGACTCTAACTCAAAAAAAAAAAAAAGGAAGACGCTATAGATAATGCAAAATAGCATTAGGAAGGCTCTTGGGCAGCTAAATTCTAATCACTGCTCTGCATTAACTAGTTCTTTGACCTTGGAGAACTCCCCTTTCAGCTCCCCTGTCCCCTTACTCCTATCCACAAAATGACTCTCAAGCGTCTATGTCCACTCGCAGTTATAACAGTTATAACATACTGTTACTCCATAGAGAGGTTTTAGAGGAAAATATATGAAGGCAAGGTGCTGGGTACAGGGGGAGCAGGATTGTGTTAGACCCTGAGTCAGCACAGCAGAAGGCCCAAATCTGATCTGCTGCCTGCTTGTTTGAGTCAAACTATTTATTTTCGAGAAAAAAAAAGTCTTCAATATTCACATCATGACAATGCTTTTTCTTTTTTTTTTAATTGTGTCGAAACAACATAACATAAAATTTACCATCTTAACCATTTTTTTTTTTTTTTTTTTTTGAGTCGGAGTCTCACTCTGTCGCCCAGACTGGAGTGCAGTGGCCGCTCCCGGCCACCGCAGCCTCGACCTGCTGGGCTCCGGCGATCCTTCCGCCTCAGCCTTCCAAGTAGCCGGAATTACAGGCATGCGCTACCACGCCCGGCTGATTTTTTGATTTATTGTAGAGATGAGGTCTCGCTGC